TGTAAAGCGATGAATCAGTCCTGAACACAGCGGGGAGCCATTTTGCACAGTGGGCGGCCATTTTGGGACCTGCCGATCAGCTGTTTCAAAACCATTGTTAAGTGAAAAATCAGTTACCGAAGCAGGGAACAGATCATCATAAAGTGGAAAACCCCACAGGAATCATCATTTTGCAATCACAATTGCGATTGCAAAAAACTCACTGTAAAGCAGATTCGCCATCAAGTGGGGTAATCGTCAAGCAGGGCACCACTGTATATTTAGCAGAAATGACATTAGGAGATTTTTTAAAAATTGATCAGTAACTGCTTAAAGAACAAGACAATAGAAATGCATGGTCGCTTGTCACAATGGAAGTATAGTAAATAGGATATTTCACAAATTTGTATTGAAACCAGTGCATTTTAAAATTCTTCATCAATTAATCAGAAATAAATGCAGTATAAGCAATAAGAATAACTGGTTTGCTAAAAACACCAAAGTATTTATGATATTCAGTTAGACTCACTGCCAGTCAAGTGTACTTAAAACTGCATCACAGTGTAACTTCTTGCTAATTTACTAGTGCTTTCCATTGAGTTTTGTGTTGTATTTACTCTTTTTAATTGCAACCTGCTCTGAAAAGTTTAGGCTAAAGAATACCATAGAAAACTACTAAGATAAATAAATTCACACCTAAACTTTTTTTTAATTTTAGAATGTACATTGTAGAAGATGCGGACAATTCTGGCTAGCATTATCCCTCTCCTAAGATCTGCCGAGACACACATGCATTTAACTCTCATGAATTCTGCTATATCAAAAAAAGGTCAAAACAGATCTAAAATATGCTGCCAGCAATTAATTCAGAACAGTAAAGGGATAAATTCTAAAAAGAGCATGCTTAAAAACAAACAAAGTAACCCATGAGCTCAAGACTCTACAACATGGGAGTCTTCTTTGCAGTACAATCCGCATCATATATATTAATTTCAAGCATTGGTCAACGCTTGCTGGAGTTCTGCTGTAATTATGGTCTATGTGTCAGCAACACATTCTTTAGTACGAAGCTTCAACACAGAGTTTCCTGGGGACATCCAAGATCAAAGCATTGACATCAGCTCGATTTGATCCTCCCTAGACATTCTAGCCTTCCTAGTATTGCAATCACACGCAGTTACCGGAGTGCTGATTGCAATACTGATCACTCCCTGGTGTGTAGTAGAGTAAAACTGAGAGCAAAGTGTGTCACACAAAAAAGGAAGACCACGTATTGACATCAGCAAGACTTGCAATCAAAGAAAAGTGGAGGAACTTGCCCAAGTGCTTGAGGAAACCCTTCCAGGCCCGGCTGATGCAAATGCACCTGAACAATGGAAACATTTCAAGAATACTATTTATAGCACTGCCTTGTCCACATTTGGTAAGAAGACCAAAAAGACGGCAAACATTCATTAGCAAGGCAAGGTCCTCCCGCCTCCTGCCAAGAGTGGCGAGCAGATTGCACACTGTGGAACCATTGGTAGAATTGCACCGTCTGCAGACAGATCAGTGAGTGGACCATCCGGCCCCATGGGGTTGGACCCTCGTTAACACCACCTGTGTGGGGAAGTGAGGGAGAGCCAAGGTGGCAATGGCCACTGTCATCAGAAACACACACACACACATGCCTGGACTCCAGGCATGGAAACACCCGGCTCCTGCTGCCTGCACCTTTAAGGATTGCAGCTAGATGCGGAGCATGGTGTCCCAGGCAGGTGCTGGAGGTTGTGCGATTGAAGGAGGACTCTTTGGGACTGTCATGGTGGTGACGACTCAGCTTTTGTGTTAGTCTGCGGGAGGAAGCTAGCATGGACTGGGGCAAAGAGGTGTAAGTAAGTGAGCGTGGACGCCTTTTCCCAGGACTCAAAATGGGATACCACAGATTTCTCACCAGCAGAGTGCCTGCACTTTCCTCACCCCTTCTTGGCCCTCTCTGCCTTGGCATTTGACCACATTTCTTCCACATCCAGCCACTCTGCCTCTGTCCCACCACCCACAGTGAGGCGTCTTCTTCAGCAATGCCCCGACCTGGCCACGGTGCAAGTGTCTGGGTCCTTCAGTTGCTTCCCCAGGCACAAACAGGGAAACAACTATTTGGTTGGTTTTGTGTTGCAGTTTGGGCATCACTAGTGTAGGGTCAGGTAATAAAGCAGGTTCATTAGCCATGAATGAAAGATAATCATTACTTGGCGGGAAACCCCTGTTCCTGGTCATTAGCCAAAAAGGCTAGGAAGATGGCTGGGCCAGTGGATGACAACTTTGAAGGAGAATTGTTGTTATACATATTGCTCTGACAGGACAACTATATATACACCTCCATGAGAGGAGGATACATTCTCCACTTTAATATGTTACATCTCATAATATTTGCATGTATTTCCCACCTCTCTTGGGAAAACTCATATCTTAGGGCACTTAACATTTCAACATGGTTCCTGCATTCTGCCAAAACACAAGTGTCTATAACAGAAAAATAAACTTGAAAGAAAATGTTGAGTATTACACCAGAATTCTGCCTCATTGTACATTCTCATCTCCTGTCTTTTGTTCTTACAGTATTGTTGTTCTAATATGATTGTGTCTTAAATTTTAAACTGTTTTACACATTGTATCAAGGGTCTAATTGTAAACATTATAGACATTTATACTGGCCCTCTAATAGTTACAGTTGGTGACAGGTTCCCTCTTATATCCCTCAGAGAAACAACAGGTTACAATTGGCTTTTTGTAGGGGAGGAACAACCTTCTGACTACTACTACAGTATTTTTCACTAATGCTGCAATTCTGTCTCTCTTCACCTTCTGAAAGCTGAAATCTTCATTTGCCCAGGAAAACAATGATCTTCCAAACCTCATCTATCCCTATGGGTAGGTTAGCTTTTGGTGGAACACTACTAACTCTGGACTGTGTTTCCCTAGGAAAATCTTTATGCAGCACAACAGCATCATGAAAGTGGAAAATTTATGAGTAGCATCTTTAAGTATACAGTGCCTGTCTCTTTAAGAGGCAGGTGTAAATAGCAACTCCCTCTCCTTTGCGAATGTTTGCAGTTCCTTTAGAATTCAGACAGAACTGGTTGGAAAACATTGGTCTGTTTTATACTGTTAAATCAAAGGTGTTGTGTTCCTTTGTGGAAGCTTTAGAAAAACCTTCCACCTTCTGTTCATTAGAAGGTGAATTTCCCAATATTGATGTTTCAAAAGGCAAGGCAATTTCCTAAAGAAGGAAAAAAAACATGGGTTTCAAGCAGAATGTTGGGATTGCAGATATAAACATAGAATTAAGGAAATTCAAGCCACTGATCAACTCTCTCATCCTCACTCAAAACACAGGCACACAGATGCCTAAGTTTTTTTTCAGTCACAGGACAATACATTACTTCAAACAATTAACAACAACTGAGTATATAAAGTTTCCAAATACCTACTCCTATTTGACATGTTTTTCCATTCAAACTAATACTGTATTCAGATCTCTTTATAAAAGTTAAAGATGAAGAAGCAATTTAATGTGAAGAACAGTTGGGCTCATTGCACACCATGATAATGACTTGCATTATAATTGCACAGCTATGATGATGAGAGATTGAGCAATTTTTAATTTTCACATATCACATTACACTGATTTCACAAGTTACTGTTGCCACCTGGCAAGCAAATGAACTGCAGGACATACATGTACCCAATGGGGTTCATGGAGTCTAAAATAACAATACTACTGTTAGTCTTGGAGAAGATTATGGTCTTTAGAATGATTTATCATAGTATTTAGTTATTTTATTAGTGGATTTCACTACTCTGCTTGTTTGTTCTGACCTTTGGTTGTTCTGACCTTTGACAATTCTGTTAACAAGTCTGACATTATATGCCATATTATAAGCAGGCATATATCCAATTCTGACTCAAACTAAAGGTGATAATGTCAAACTTCACATCCTGGCTAAATGTGTTTGCATGTATGTTAGACATATATGTCTGTACAAACTAAAGGTGTTAACATCAAACTTCACATTTCAGCTGTCTGTGTGTGTTTGCGTGTATATTAGACATATATGTGTACAAACTAAAGGTGATAACCTCAAACTTTACATATCAGGTGTGTGTGTGTGTACACACCAAAACTGGAGAAAATGCTTTTAAGGATCTCACAAGAGCTCCTGATATATTTATTTTGCTCACTGTTGTAATTTCTGGATGGTGGTAGTATCTTGGTTTCATAGAACAGTACACAACAAGTTGCATAGGTGGATATGACTGTATTCCCAGCTAACGTTTTGAAACATTAAAACATCAGTTTATTTAATTAACACACATTTATATAATCTGCTTATAACACAGCATATAACGCCAGAGTTGTTAACACATCTGTCAAAACAAACAAGCATAGTGGAACCCACTTTCCCAATTCATTCAGTCCATAAATATGTCTAACAAAACAGTTGAAAAACGAGGAACCTCTTTTCCTATGTGAAATATTCACCAGCTCCGTTAAAATATTATTCCCAGCATCTGGCTGGGGTCCCCCTTCCGACAGCTTTGGAAGGACTGATAACTCTGGTCACCTTAGCCTTAGAGGACTAAGGAGGATGGCCAGAAAGGGCCTCCTCCCTCACCACCCTTCCCACACCCCTCACGAGGGAGGCAAAGCCGAGGCGCCGCTCCGGGGCGTCGGAGAGGAAGCGCTGAGCTCCCTTTCCCCTCTGAGAGGGAGACGCCATCGGCCACCCCCACCCCTCGCGAACGCCAAAGGGCAGGAGGTGGGATGGAGCAGGACCGAGAGACTCCGGGTTGGAGGCGCTCCCTGAAGGAGACGCGCTCTCACGTTCAGTCACACGACTCCAAACTGACAGGCCAGGAAAGCGCCCTCCCTTACCTACGGCGGGGCTAGTCAGCGGGACACGCCCGGTTGCTCGGCCAAGGCGGGCCGGCCAGCCTCCCCCGTTCTCCTCCAACACCTCCCCCCAGCCGCCGGTCTTTACCTTGAAAGGGTTGTTGAGGTCCGGGTCGGCGAAGGGGTTGCTGTCGAAGTCCGACATGGTGGTCGAGGGTCGGGACGAGGCGGGCGCGGCTCTGCGCGGATGGCGGCGGACGACGACTCCCCTCGAGCGCCCCAAAGGCTGCCCCCCCACTCCCGCGCCGGTACCACCCCCGCAGGGAGATCCGGTACAAAGCCCGCCCCTCAAGAAACCCTGCGCTCCTCGATAGGATACCCAACCGGCCTCCAAGATGGCCGCCCCGGAAACAGCGTAAGAGGCGCGCCGGTTTTCCCGTGAAAAGGGGTGGAGCGAAAATCTGGTGGGAGAGGAGGGGGCTTTTTTTTCTCCCCGCCCCTGGGAGATTTTATTCATCTGTCTTAAAGGGTTGTTTCTTGTAGACATTGTGAGGTTTTATTTCTAACATCCAAAATCTAGGTTTCCAGGCAGTTTGGGGTTATGTTTTTTCCTTCTGTTTATGAACACGAGTGTGCAGAAACTACATCCAGCAGTCCTCCGGCGTCCAGACGCTGGCCATAATATGTGGGTGATTTTAAATCATTCGATTGACAATTGCTTCCAAAGTTTTAACTGTTGGTGAGATTATATGTAATTTGGGTTTGAGTCTTGTATTTAACAGAGACTAAATAAACCCTTGAACTTGGTAGAATAAACTGCCAGGTCAGCATTTTTTCAGAGATGTAGCCATGTTGGTCTGTTTTGGCAAAAGGAAAACAAGTACAATGCCATTTTTAAGATTTAAAAGGTAATTTCATATAGGCATTCTCCATATGTCTATATAAATATAATTGCTTTCAATACTACTGTGTCACATAATCATTTTCGCCTCCTCGTATCTGGATCAGTATCCAATGGAAAAATGCCTATGGGATCATAACTGATTGTTTTTAAGGATTTTTGTTAGTTTTACTCCAACAAATGTAGTTATATGCACTAGAATTTAATTTATTTATGAGGCATATCCATATTTTCCTATTGATTCATATTGGCAAACACATACCTGCATTTCCCCCTACTAAGAACAATAATTTTGTAATTTGGTAACTGGTATTATCAAATTAGTATGCTTTTTTCCTCCATACAGTATATGAACATATGCTCAATAAAGACAGGAGTCACAGTGTTGTTTACCTGATCATTCAGTAGCAGTCACCTTTCTGGACAGACAGTCAAAAGGCACATGAATTCAGTCTCACAAAGAACCATGATCAACAATGTAGAAGTGTGGGGGTTCAACTTTAGGCTCCTTCTTTCGTTCAAATAAATCAGGAGATTTTTGTAATTTAGAAACAGGTGTGATGTTTATTGGTGTGTTCAGCAAATAACCGGTGTCAACAAAATGGTTCCAACGCTTTTCTCCTGACAACGGGTCAGTCAAGGGCTTCCATTCTTCATCTAGGAATGGGTTTCCTAATCACCTGAGTTCCATGGACCTGGCCAGTCTACCAATAAGTTCAGGTTCACCATCTGTCCTGTTTCACTTTCCAACAGGGGCACAGTGTCGTCATACCGGCCATCCGCCCACACGGAGCATCCGAAGTGTGTGGGTTGTCCAGGGTCTCTCCTGTATCCCTTTCTTCCTCATTTTGCTCACCCTCCATTCTAGCCTCTCTCTCTACTCTCTCTGTCTCCTCTCTTAGTTGTCTCCGCCACTCTGGCTTCTGCTTCACCCCAGTAAGAAGGTCTCAGAGGGATCTCTCTCCTTTTCCTGTAGTCCCCCTCTTCCTTAGGGACTCTCAGTCTTCCCCATGCTCCAGTCCATGGGTCCTCCATCCAGACCCACCTGTCGTAACTGTTCCTCCCTCCTTTTTATATCTGCAGCTCCTGCCTCTATCTCCACCCTCTTCTTCCGCTCTGCTCCTGCCATTTTCCTCAACTGTTCACTTTTGTAATTCTCCCTCTGTTTCCCATGTATCTGTCCCTCGCTGTTCTGTTCTCTCAGGAGGTGAGACAGGCAAGGTCTGTACAGTACTGTATCTCTTTCTCGGCTGTCAGTGGGAGGGACAGCACTCCAGCAAGAGGGCTACCACTCTTGCCCCGTCTCACACTGAACATCCAACTCCCTTTGCCTGCCCTTGTTTCTGTCATGGCCTCTGTTTATCAACTGCTGTTCTATAACTCATAGCTATATAGGGTTACCAAAGGCTATGATTAATGAATGAGAGATCTTCTTAAATAACAAGGCGGTGGTAATAGTGGTGAATATGATGACTGATAATTGATAACGATGAGGATAAGATGATGATGCTTTTCCATAAAGGCATTATAATGCCAGCCATCAAAACTTCCATTCTTTAGATAGTCTACAACTAATCTGTATGTTATAAATTGCACAGTATTTCAAGCTGTTCCAAAGGTGTGACCCAGGCACATCTTCAGAACTGAGCAACCATACATGCAAACAGACTCTGTGCTTACCTCCCTGATAACAGTCACAAAAGAAAACAAACTAATTTACAAATTATAGAGAATGAGAATAATTAGATGTTTTCAGTAATTAAGGAATATCTCATGTAATACCAGGTGAACCATAATATATAGATTAACTCAAAATGTTGTTGCTCTCAAGGTGTACTGTGTGACAACAGTCAAGCAAGACCCTGAGATACTATGACTGCCTTGTATTATAATACTAAGTTGTATGTACGTTATCCTGCAGAAATGAGAGATCACAGGGGAAAGCTGATTAAATCTTACTCTTCCAACTAGGGGGAAATCAAATCTTCCAACTAAAACATTACATGCATTCTTCTCACATCCAACCATGGCATTAGATTAGATTAGGCATCCTTCAGTCTCGAGAGACTATGGTAATGTGCTCTGTATGGAGGAGCTGGAATGTCCTCTCCAGAGCACGAAGCCTGGGTAAAATAATATGGAGGATAGGCTGTTACCGAAGCTTACCTCTCCACGTTGCTGAAATAGTCCAATGGAAAGGAAAGAGCCAATATGACTGGTTCCAGCAATGGAAAGGAAAGAGCTGGTTCCAGCGACGTCACAAGAGTTGACAGAACGACATGAACTGCCTATGGGACTGCGGCTCTGGATTTTGCCTCAAGGTTAATTCCTGCAGCCTTTTCCATCACTGGATATAGCCACAAGGCAGTGGACGCTTGAAATAGGAGTTTTCCTTCTCCTAGATGGGCTGCCTTCCAAGGCTGACGAGCCCCACCTACCCGGCCTGCTCCCTAATAGGGCAGAGAGGACCCTGGATGGGGAGGAAAGGAAATGGGGTGGAGAGGGCCCTAGAAGGGGAGTTTAGGAAATGGATGCAGAGGACCCCAGAGGGAAAGGAAAGGAAATGGGGTGGAGAGTACTCTGGATGGGGCAGAAAAGAAATGGGGTGGAGAGGACCCTAGGGGGGAAGAAACTGACTGTATCTGTACAACAAACATATAACTCTTCATCACAAGGCTCATTCATGTACTTCTCTTCGTTTAGTTTAGTCGTGTCCGACTGTTCGTGACCCCATGGACCAGAGCACGCCAGGCCCTCCTGTCTTCCACTGCCTCCCGGGGTTGGGTCAGATTCATGTTGGTTGCTTCGGTGACACTGTCCAACCATCTCATCCTGTGTCGTCCCCTTCTCCTCGTGCCTTCACACTTTCCCAACATTAAGGTCTTTTCCAGGGAGTCTTCTCTTCTCATGAGATGGCCAAAGTAGTGGAGCCTTAGCTTCAGGATCTGTCCTTCCAATGAGCACTCAGGGTTGATTTCCTTCAAAATGAATAGGTCTGATCTCCTTGCAGTCCAGGGGACTGAGGTTATTAATATTTCTTCCAGCAGTCTTAATTCTGGTTTGGGATTCCTCCAGTCCAGCTTTTTGCATGATGTTTTCTGCATAAAAGTTAAATAAGCAGGGAGACAATATACAGCCTTTTCGTACTCCTTTCTCAAATTTGAACCTACCAGTTGTTCCATATCCAGTTCTAACTGTTGCTTCCTGTCCCACATATCGGTTTCTCGGGAGATGGGTAAGGTGGTCAGGCTCGCCCATTTCTTTAAGGACTTGCCATAGTTTGCTGTGGTCCACACAGTCAAAGGCTTTTGCATAATCAATAAAGCAGAAGTAGATGTTTTTCTGGAACTCTCTGGCTTTCTCCATAATCCAGCGCAAGTTAGCAATTTGGTCTCGAGTTCCTCTGCCCCTTCGGAATCCCACTTGTACTTCTGGGAGTTCTCGGTCCACATATTGCTGAAGCCTACCTTGTACAAAGGCCCATATCAGGATCTGTACATTTCTTTCCAACACTTTGCCAGCTGAGTGTTTGTCACAGTCAAGCTCTCTGATGGACTGACAATTGCCTGAAAACTTGGCTTACAACCACCTCATCATCCTGCTCATTGTTCTCATGGATGCATTGCCAGTTTTCAATGTCTTAAAAATATAGGTCCCAGTGTGGTGTAATGGATACTGTGATTCCTATACTTGTGCCTTTGATTTTTTGCTACCTAAATGCAAGATTTGTCTTTTAACTGTATTCCAGTTACTAGCTAGTCTTTTTCTTTTGTTGTTCCTTTCTTCCACAAGACCAGATATCATTGTGTTGCTATGATTTTGGAAGATACATTGTGTTGCTTCCAAATTAGTGTCCAAGATTCCTCAACCAATATGTTCTGCTTCCTGTATTTCTCTCTCACCACACACACTTATTTTAATCTTTAGCAAGGAGCTGTAATAGTTTATACTTTTCAACAGCACACAGTAACCAATAGTAAGCCAGTAACTGATCATAGTCACTCTCTGTGTTATCCTACAACAGTAAAGTAGCATGCTATTGCATACTGCCCAGTAACTTCTGTTCCATGGAGAGGAACAGTATAAATGTCTGCAAAAGAACTAATTATTTTCTAAAATATATTTTCCCCAATCAGTTTGAAACTATATTCCAGAAGCAGTTAGTTTTCTTCTTAATAAGTGCTGATTTTGGTGATCATCCATTCCTAATTGCCATTCTAAACTAATGCTTTTAATGCATTAAAAGTTAAGTACTGCATTTGTCTTGATGATGAATAATCTGGGTGATGTTAATAGGGCACAGTGTGGGAAAGAGAGGTTACTAAGCAAAATGCATATTAGATTTTTTTTTCTTGGAAAACAACTACCTCTGGTGCTCACAGTTGGAACTACAGAAAAAAATGTGGTATTGGGGTAGTAGTTTTTTACACTATGAAAAGAGAAACAGACACTCTAAATCAGGGGTCTCAAACATGCAGCCCGGGGGCCATTTGCGG